CCCGCCCCTCCCTCTCCTGCCCCCGTCTACACACACACTCTCGAGCAATAGTGATAAATCAATCATGGAAGAACACCGGACGAGAACATAAATGGAAGATGCTCGCATGCTGATACCATACACTGACTAATCAAGATGAAGAGGGAGAAGGAGACGAAGACAAAGAAAGTAGTGATAATGATTCCTTTCTCAATTTTGGTTGTGAGCTCAAAGATGACCCTCACCCAAAACTTCTTCACATTGCATTGCTGCTCAGCATTGTTTTCGCAGAATTCACTTTTTAAGCGAAATTTTGCAACAACACAGTTGGAACAGATGTCCAGATAGTATCCAACTACAATGTTTATTCAATAAGGGGGTAAAACCCCTAACAGTGTCGTATCCATCTGATTTCATCCAGGTTTGCACTTGTAGCATGCCCAATCAGACATTTGGCAAGCATGAAAGCCAAGGCTCATGCACATGCACATGCACAGATTGATGGAGAGCATGCCTGGCAAACCCTGGAGGCAATGTGGACTGAAGGAATCAATTCATACAGCCAGGAGGGAGGACATCCGTAGAAGAATGCTTTCCCACTTATACCCCTCCAAATACCCCCTATACCAACCCTACACCCCCCTATAGTACCTATACCGGCCCCCCACATCCCCAATAGTTTCTCAGTGGATTCGGGCTGTACTCAGCACGCGCAGTACAGCCCCCAGCTCAGATTTGAAGAAAAATCAGTGGATGACTGTTTTCTGACTGGTAGGCAGACCTCCGACCGGTCAGCCTTACTGGTCGGCCCCAAAACGATCGACGGTCGGCAGCTATGCAACCCTGCCAGAGCCTAACTGAAAACCTCTCTGCACTGCAATGCAACAGCGCTACAGCATTTAATCTGTGAATCGCCTGTCGTGCACTCGGTCACAGCATGTTGGGCATCCGACAACATGACAGAAAATGCAAGCGAGCCATTTACAACCCTCTCAACTCTATAAACCACATTTGCAAGGCACAATACTCAGGGCGTACTCACGCTAGGGCTTTTTTTACTTATTTATGGACTAATTGCAGTCAGATGGGTCCGGATATAACTGCAGCCGGATACATTTAAGATACCCCCTCAGTGTGATTATGAGCCCACATACCTCTTGGCAAACTTAGCGAAGTACTTCGCACTTCGAAAATCCCCGAAGTAATCCCAAACGTCCTCGCACGTTTTGAACTTTAAATACATATCATCATGGCGATCATAACTTGAATATGTCTCCGTTGCAAAGAAAAAGCAGTCCTGGAGGTCATCTTTGTAAACTGCAGCAAAAGCAACCATAAGCAAAGAGGAAGTACTTTGATAAACAGAAGCTACTTTCAACAGCGGCCTAATCACTGTATTGGATATTGGGACATCAAGAAAGGGAGGGGGGTAAACAACACATGAATTAGTTAGGCCCTCTATCCGAAGGGGCACTTCTGAAGGTAGGACCAAAAGTAGAAACACCAGTACAGTTCACCAATGTGCGCAAGTTTCCAAAGTTCCAACCTATTCATTAGTAAGTGACTGTAAGTCCACAAAGATGACCTTAATATGTACTCGCGCTTTTTTCCCCCTCAATGAATCTGACCACAAATACTGCCAAATTCAGTCAACAAAAATCCAACTGAGACCATACATATTGTGCTAATCGTTTATATTGCACGTACACAAACAAATGGAGACAATCCAATAACATGCGAGGAATCCACATGGAAATGTGCTGCCTAAGATTCAAGAACGTGATTGCCACCCAGCCTGTGTGGCTGAACAGTACTCCGCTCGCTGGAGCAATCAATGCTGCTGAGGGTTCCTTCCGTCAAAGGGAATGAAGCGTGGAGTGGGTCACTCGTATTCTTTAATTTATTTTGCATCTTGTCGGTGGATCAGAAGATTCAAAACTGGACTGACGCTCCCTAGAATTGACAAGGACCCAGGACCATGAGAACCTGTTTTTGCAAAGAAAAAAAAAAGAATCGCAACTTGAAAGTAAAACGTAGGGACATGAGGACCGTACAGGAGCTGACCTGCGGGATGGTGTGTTTCCTGGACACAGTACCTGATCTAAAAAGATACAATGACAACAGAATGTTCCACACCTCTCTCCTCTACCATGTCTCTCTGTCTTAAATCCTTGACTTCTCTCCTCCCTCCCACGTCTCTCCCTCTCAAATGATCATATGTACAGAATTGAGCCCCACCTTTGATACTCCCCACCTCTCCTTCCCTGCACCTCTCGCTCTCAAGTTCATGCAACAGTAGAACCTTCCACCCTTCCCCCCTCCCATCTCCGTCACTGCACCTCTCCGTCTGCAGTTCTCAAAAAAAATGAAATGCTGCACCTCAAAAAATAAAAAAGAAGAAATGCTGCACCTCTTCTCTTTTTGTCAGCCGATCGGTCGCTCAGTCGCCAGTCCGTCTGTCTGTCGGTCTGTCTGTCTTTCCGTCTGCCTGTCTGTCTCTCTCTCTCTCTCTCTCTCTCTCTCTCTCTCTCTCTCTCTCTCTCTCTCTCTCTCTCTCTCTCTCTCTCGATATGGTTCTAATGTTTCAACACCTCATCACAGTTGCAGTGGTTAAGACAATCCAACTGTTATAGCAGGGATTCCCAGTTCAATTCCAGGCAGCGTTAAAGATTTACCCTGGCAAAGTACACAGTACTCAGCTGGTAGCTGGCCAGGAGATTGTACTTGAATTGAGGTGGCCGTGTCTACAGAGGGTCGTGTAGATTGAGTGTGGCTGTGCCTATGAAAACCATTAAACCAGCAGTACTTGGCCCAGCTATCGATGCCGAACCTGGAATGCCCCTGCGCGCCAATTTTTTGCCCAAGCGCCGGGGTACCGTTTCAATTTTTTTTTGGCTGGCGCTCCAGCCACTGTGGTCCAGTACCCTGAAGCCCTAAAGGTGTGGCGCGTTAACAGGGAAGCGCCGCGGGCGATAGCTTGGCCAAGTACTGGTGGTTTAAGTGTGTCAATGCATAGAGTGCTTGAGAGGAGTATTGCAACCATGCAGGGATGGGTTGGTTGATGTCCCAACCAATATGGCTCCACTTTTTCGACACCGCGTCATGGCTGCAGTGGTTAGACCACCATTAAAAAAAAAAAAAAAAACCTGCTCCCAATGTCAACGAAAGCCTGTTGCAGAACATCTGCTGACCACAGGAAGGGTCAGCCTGACGGCCATGAGGGGCCCCTGGTGATAGGGTGCAAAAACTCCCAGTATGCCCATTTCAGTGACTTTTCCTGCTAATCCTGTTCGATGAAACATTTTGAAAGAAATCAGGAGTGTAGATTAATTGCTGATCTATTTGGCAAAACAAAGCGTCGAGGATTCTCTGAAAGAAAAATGCACAATTGTGTTCAGAAAGAGGGCAAACTATGCTACATCCACAACCTTCCAGCAAAGCTCAGGTACGTACCGAAGAATTCGTACTTCCTTTGACACAAAGAAAAACCTCTTTTCAAGTATTCCTGATGATCTCTGAAGGACCTCTCCGTCATTTTGTGATTGTTTTCCAAACCCACCCTCAGAAATCTTCCAGCCCCTGCAACCCTCGCGGCACAGTATCCAGCATTGCTGAACTCAATCCTCTGCCATGCAAGCACAGGAAGGGTGTCAGAAACACGCAAGCCCAGAAACGGAAGAATGGATTAACAAAAGAGAGGAGCGTTTTGCCCTCTCCAGCTCATCAATGAGGAAACGCAATACCAGTATCGCAGGTGTAAGAAGGCAAAGTGAAAAGGGGAGGACCTCATTGATTGAGCTGAACTCATATCCCCATGCCCCAAACTGCAGAACCTTTTTTGAAACAAGAAGCAACAACAAAACACCTTGAAAAAAGGTAAAACGGGGACATAACGGACAAACTTTCCTCATGATGACATTCAATGAAATATACCACACCCAACCCACACACCTGCCATTGCAGACATATTTGGAAAACAAAGAAAAAGCTGACAGTGTCAAAACCATGCACCAAGTATCAATCGCACACAATGCAGACCACGCAGTGTGAGTAACCAGAAATAGACAAAGGTAGGAGAGAAAAGGAGAGGAGGAGGAAATTCCAGTAATAATATCTCAATGAATACAAGCATCCAGCTCGTCCTGTAACCCTTCTGCCTCCAGGACCCTTCTACCACCAGTTCGCCACCTCAGCAATCTGTTCCATTTGAAGTCTCTGACAAAATATCTCTGCAGCAGAATCTATCCACAGGCAGGCCCGATCTCCAGCACAAGGCTCAGCTATGCACTCACTGACACCTGTACTCAAGAAGAAGCTGCCGTCTCAGCATTGCCAGCAACAACAAGTCAGGTAAGCACCATCTCTCTCTTGCTGCCAGGTCTTGATCACCGTCACCCTCACCCTCACCCTCACTCTCTCCCTATGGACTAAGCTACAGCGCTTGGTGCCCCTACTTCAGCTATGGCTTCTGGCGCTCGCTCTCTGTCTCTCTGTACCTGGCGCCAGGCTCCCCTGCAGCCGCTGCCTTCTTCAGCGTTGGCACGCAGCAGCGTACCGGCATCAATGCACAAGGCAGCAATGAATGAGACGACTGGGGCAGGCTGTTTCTTTTGTAGTGGATGGCCGGGATTTGCTGTCGGCCAGTGTATGCGTGAACTCAGCGGGCCTTGGAAACTACTGGAGCACTGCAAACAGTCTTTGATGTGCATCAGATCTGTGGGCATAGTTGACTCCTTAGAAGTCTCTGACTCTTACGCCTGGACCTCACTTCTTTCCGCCGAGCCTTTGGAAGGAAGTTTTTGAGATTCCACTGCTGGCAGGGCAATCCTTCAGGAAAACAAGGATTTTTGTTCACATGCAGCCCCTGTTCTGTGCACTGGCATCTTTCCAAAGTGCATAGTCGAGGGTAGGCCGAGGGCTACCCCTCAGTTTGAGTCATCCTGTGTGCAAAGGAGACACAGGGATTGGACAGAGAGTGAGAAAAGCGGACGTCGACTTGCCCTTTCAGGCAAGTCCTCCCGATAAGGCAACTTTTAGCTTGGAAGCCGCCCAAGCGTGTATTTGTTGCGGTGTGAGAAACAGCTGTCTCTTATACACATCTAGATGTGTATAAGAGACAGCTCCACAACCAACCCGGAGAGCTTACCCAGCTTTGGCTGAGCTGGAAACCAGGTCCAAAGTCCCATCATTGCCTCAATATTGTGTTTGTTGTCCACATTATTGCAACTTCAGCAGCTGCACCTTCGGATAGAGAGTGACAATGTTTGCAGGGTCAAGGGTGAAAGGTCTGCAGAATAAGTTTGGAAGCCAAACCTTGAGGCTTATATCATCAACAATGGCAATCCATTCTTCGCTCAGCTCGAATGCTGGGTGTGTTGGAGAAAATATTAGCTGTAACCTAACGGCAGCCACAAGCAGTACCACGAAAAACGAGTGGTTCAGAGAGTGCTTGAAGTCTGATTTTTTTTTAATCTGAATGAAAACACTGGAAACCAGTGAAAAGGGGGTTAGTACAGCAAACCCTCGTTAGCTCAGTCATTTCACAATAGATCTGTTCGGAAACAGACCACGTAGACTCTGTCTTCTGGTCTCAGACATGGGACATGAGAGTTTGATCAGCACTCTGAAGGCATGTGGTATTCAGACAGTACAGGTGGTGTGTTCAGTTTTGGTTCTGTGGGTGCACGCTGTACTGACTATACTGAGGCATAGCGAATGACACATATGGGGAATGTCTTTCGTTGCAATACAACACCAAGCCTGTTCCATTGAACTTGTGGGGTGTATACTATCGGGGTGCAAAAGGCTGCCTTCTTTAAGTATTTTCAGTGACCTAACTGTAAAACCATGGACCAACTATACATGAAGTGTTCGGTCCTACCAGGCAAAAATCCCCGATGAGCATCAGTATGCATTCTCTCTCTCTCTCTCTCTCTCTCTCTCTCTCTCTCTCTCTCTCTCTCACACACACACACACACACACACACACACACACACACACACACAC